CCCCAAAACCCCAAAACCCCAAAACCCCAAAACCCCTTACCTCCAAAATATCATTGATATTTATAAAAATGGAAAATTTTGAAAGCAAAGAAGTAACTTTCTGTTAAAATATATAGGAAACAAAAGGAGTTGAATTTGATTCACGAGGAACAGTAGACGGAGATTTTCCTCCCCAACCTAGCTCGCTGTACAGTATCACAAACACCAAATTAAGTAAATTAGAGCTTGAAGTATGGAAGAGCTACGTATGGAAAAGACCACACGAAATATTTGATGGTCCTTTCCATCTCTTTTCTGAAGGAATTGACCCATGCGATATTAAGCAAGGAATACTTGGAAACTGTTACTTTCTCTCAGCACTCAGCGCACTAGCTGAGTTTCCAGCGGAAATTAAGAAAATATTCCAAGATAAAGAAGTCAGCAAATAATGGAATCTATAAAATAAATTTCAAACTTGGAGGTGAAAACAGAACTGTTCTAATCGATGACTACATCCCATTTGATCCCAAGAAGAACAAGCCTGCGTTCTCCCAATCCAAAGGCAACGAGCTCTGGGTTATGTTACTAGAAAAGGCCTGGGCTAAGGTAAATGGCAACTACGAAAAATCCATCAAAGGATTTGTATCAGAAGCATTCAGAGCTCTGACTGGTGCTCCTGTAGTCTTCTTCAAGCACCTCTACATCCAAGATATCTGGGATGAGATATATGAAGCAGATAAAGTTGACTACATAATCTGTGGTTCTTCTGGAGAAGACAACCTCCATAAATATGAAGAAATGGGCCTTATAAGTGAACATGCTTACTCAGTCATCGAAGCTAGAGAAATTGAAACTCCTAAAGGAAAAGAAAGACTACTGAAAATGAGAAATCCATGGGGTCATAAGGAATGGTTAGGTAAATGGAGCGACAATGATGAGTCCTGGACAGATGAGCTTCGGGAAACCCTCGGGTGTCAAGAGAAAAATGACGGGGTATTCTTTATGTGTGTTGAGGATTACCTGAGCTATTTCAGAACAACAGTTATATGCAAAGGACATGAAAATTTTGTATCTCACTCGATCAAATGCAAACACAATACTGGAGATTATAATTTGATCAAGATTACTATTGAGAACGAAGGAAAAATATTCTTCACTGTTTCTCAATTGAACCAAAGATGGGCAAGAAGGTATAAAGAATATGAGCCGTCATTTGTTAGAATGCTTTTAGCAAGAATTGTCTCCAAGGATGAAGACGAGGAAGATGACTTCCCATTAGAATACACTGATGGAAAATGTTGGAAAGATGAAGACACTACTATTGAACTTAACCTCCGTCCTGGGAAATATTTGGCATACATTGAGATAGATTGGTTTGATGATACTCAATATAATACCTATCTGTTTAGATCATATTCACAAATTGCTCCAATAATTGAAGAGATTAATCCAAAGAAGTATCCAAACTTCCTCAAAGATACCTTAAAATCATGCGCTATTAACTCAACTGCACTTAAAAGTTTTCAAGAGAAAGGTGAGCCTGATATTTTCAGGGCTTTTAGTATCACTGCTTCAAAATGAGAGTACGGCTTTCTCTACTATGAGAACAATTCTTCAGGGACAATCCTTCGTGAAATTATGAAGTTTAGCAAACTGGAAAACCTGAGCTTGATGCCGCCTTATGAAGGTGATTCTGTAGAGGTCAAAGTGTATCCTGGTGATAAGCAGATTATTTTATTCAACAGAAATGATAGAGCTTGTTCTTGTGAAAGTATATACCACACTACTCTAGTCAAACCTCTTAGTGATACTTTAGAAAGAATCACCGAGAAGGGAAAGTAAACACCAAATTGAGTACAATGATGAGAAATATGAGGTTTATTATTACGTATATAAGGACGGTAGTGGTTTCTGTTGGTATTTTGTCAACAACTCTAACCAGCTCGAAACCTGACTTCCTTATGCCTTTGAAGGAACCTTCTACTTCAAATTAGAAAATCTTGAAATCGATGATGATGCTCACAGAGATAAGCAAGAATGGAAGGTCAGACTTATGCCAGGAGAGACCTCTTCAATGAAACTTTTGGTGAAGGATATTACCAAGTCATGGGGCTACAAATATTCTTACAGCTTCAAAACTAAAGAAATTATCAAGAAAAATGAGAAATTAAGGGAAATTTTGCTTAAATAATGGAACAAAAAGACAAATTACCTACAGAAATACCAAGATGGATGTTTATAATTACGTCTATTTTTCAAAAGATAGATATCTTTGGTATTACGAGAATCTCACGAATCTAAAATTTAAAGGAATCTACAGATTCCAATTAACCAACCTCCAAATTGATAAGGATCAAGATGCCAGCAGTGAAGACACGGAAGATCAATGGACTGTGATTCTCATTCCAGGTCAGACATGCCTGAGGACGCTCTCTAGAATAGATTCAAAACTTGAATGACAGTTCAAAGTGGCTTCCTCACATTGCTTCTCTGAGAAGACTTATTAGTCAGCATAAGTATCGTAATTTTTACAAAAACTGGTAAAATTATTATGAATTCTCTAAAATATGTCTCAATATCTATTTCAAATACTGGGGTTTTGGGGTTTTGGGGTTTTGGGGTTTTGGGG